AAATTTCTCAGGTTTTGATGAAAAGTTTTCTGAAAGTCAAGATTTGCAAAATTTGAAAAATCAGACAAAAGCAAGCCTGAAATTATCAAAAAAGCTTAAAATCCAAAAAAATTTAGCACCGACTTTCTCTCCAAAAATTCGTCAAAATTTTCAATTTTCACAAAAAGATGTTGTGATTTTTTATTCACTTATAAAATTGTTTTCTTTTTATTTTCAACGAAAACCAGTTTCTTTGTGGTGTTTTTAAGTCACTTTAGGGAAAAAAGAATCGTCAAAATTTTCAAAATATTTTCTGTAACAATTTCGAAGATGGTTTTTTTGGTTTCGAAAATTTTCTGAAAAAATTAACAATTGTTAGGTTTCCAACAAAGTCAAAATGAAAATGCGAAAATGAGAACAGGAACAAACGTTAAAATTTTCTCTTTTCAAAAATTTCTCAGATTTTGATGAAAAAGTTTTCCGCAAGTCAAGATTTGCTAAACTTGGAAAAATCAGACAAAAGCAAGCCTGAAATTATCATAAAAGCTCAAAATCCAAAAAAATTTAGCACCGACTTTCTCTCCAAAAATTCGTCAAAATTTTCAATTTTCACAAAAAGATGTTGTGATTTTTTTATCACATATAAAATTGTTTTCTTTTTATTTTCAACGAAAACCAGTTTCTTTGTGGAGTTTTTTAAGTCAATTTAAGGAAAAAAAATCGTCAAAATTTTCAAAATATTTTCTGTAACAATTTCGAAGATGGTTTTTCTTGGTTTCGAAAATTTTCTGAGAAAATTAACAATTGTTAGGTTTCCAACAAAGTCAACATGAAAATACCAAAATGACAACAGGAACAAAAGTTAAAATTTTCTCTTTTCAAAAATTTCTCAGGTTTTGATGAAAAAGTTTTCCGAAAGTCAAGATTTGCAAAATTTGAAAAATCAGACAAAAGCATGCCTGAAATTATCAAAAAAGCTCAAAATGAAAAAAAATTAGCACCGACTTTCTCTCCAAAAATTCGTCAAAATTTTCAATTTTCACAAAAAGATGTGATTTTTTTATCACATATAAAATTGTTTTCTTTTTATTTTCAACGAAAATCAGTTTCTTTGTGGTGTTTTTTAAGTCAATTTGGGGAAAAAAAATCGTCAAAATTTGCTAATATTTTCTGTAACAATTTCGAAGATGGTTTTTTTTGGTTTCGAAAATTTTTTGAAAAAATGAACAATTGTTAGCTTTCCAACAAAGTCAAAATGAAAATACCAAAATGACAACAGGAGCAAATGTTAAAATTTTCTCTTTTCAAAAATTTCTCAGATTTTGATGAAAAAGTTTTCTGCGAGTCAAGATTTGCAAAATTTGGAAAAATCAGACAAAAGCAAGCCTGAAATTATCATAAAAGCTCAAAATTCAAAAAAATTTAGCACCGATTTTCTCTCCAAAAATTCGTCAAAATTTTCAATTTTCACAAAAAGATGTTGTGACTTTTTTATCAGATATAAAATTGTTTTCTTTTTATTTTCAACGAAAACCAGTTTCTTTGTGGTGGTTTTTAAGTCAATTTAGGGGAAGAAAAATCGTCAAAATTTTCAAAAAATTTTCCGCAAGTCAAGTTTGCAAAATTTGAATAATCAGACAAAGGCAAGCATGAAATTATCAAAAAATCTCAAAATCCAAAAAAATTTAGCACCGACTTTCTCTCCAAAAATTCGTCAAAATTTTCAATTTTCACAAAAAGAAGTTGTGATTTTTTTATCAAATATAAAATTGTTTCCTTTTTATTTTCAACGAAAACCAGTTTCCTTGTGGTGTTTTTTAAGTCAATTTGGGAAAAAAAAAATCGTCAAAATTTTCTAATATTTTCTGTAACAATTTCGAAGATGGTTTTTTCTGGTTTCGAAAATTTTTTGAAAAAATTAACAATTGTTAGCTTTCCAACAAAGTCAAAATGAAAATACCAAAATGACAACAGGAGCAAATGTTAAAATTTTCCCTTTTCAAAAATTTCTCAGATTTTGATGAAAAAGTTTTCTGCAAGTCAAGATTTGCAAAATTTGGAAAAATCAGACAAAAGCAAGCCTGAAATTATCATAAAAGCTCAAAATCCAAAAAAATTTAGCACCGACTTTCTCTCCAAAAATTCGTCAAAATTTTCAATTTTCACAAAAAGATGTGATTTTTTATCACATATAAAATTGTTTTCTTTTTATTTTCAACGAAAACCAGTTTCTTTGTGGTGTTTTTTAAGTCAATTGGAAACAAAAACGTCAAAATTTTCAAAATATTTTCTGTAACAATTTCGAAGATGGTTTTTTTTGGTTTCGAAAATTTTCTGAGAAAATTAACAATTGTTAGGTTTCCAACAAAGTCAAAATGAAAATGCGAAAATGAGAACAGGAACAAAAGTTAAAATTTTCTCTTTTCAAAAATTTCTCAAATTTTGATGAAAAAGTTTTCCGCAAGTCAAGATTTGCAAAATTTGAAAAAATCAGACAAAAGCAAGAATGAAATTATCATAAAAGCTCAAAATCCAAAAAAATTTAGCACCGACTTTCTCTCCAAAAATTCGTCAAAATTTTCAATTTTCACAAAAAGATGTGATTTTTGTATCACATATAAAATTGTTTTCTTTTTATTTTCAACGAAAACCAGTTTCTTTGTGGCGTTTTTTAAGTCAATTTAGGGAAAAAAAATCGTCAAAATTTTCTAATATTTTCTGTAACAATTTCGAAGATGGTTTATTATTTTCATTATAGTAATCTTCGATTTTTGGTTTCAAAAATTTTCTGAGAAAATTAACAATTGTTAGGTTTCCAACAAAGTCAAAATGAAAATACGAAAATGACAACAGGAACAAAAGTTAAAATTTTCTCTTTTCAAACATTTCTCAGGTTTTGATGAAAAACTTTTCCGCAAGTCAAGATTTGCAAAATTTGGAATAAATCAGACAAAAGCAAGCCTGAAATGATCATAAAAGCTCAAAATCCAAAAAAATTTAGCACCGACTTTCTCTCCAAAAATTCGTCAAAATTTTCAATTTTCACAAAAAGATGTGATTTTTTTATCACACATAAAATTGTTTTCTTTTTATTTTCAACCAAAACCAGTTTCTTTGTGGTGTTTTTTAAGTCAATTTAGGGACAAAAACACGGCAAAATTTTCAAAATATTTTCTGTAACAATTTCGAAGATGTTTTTTTTGGTTTCGAAAATTTTCTGAGAAAATTAACAATTGTTAGGTTTCCAACAAAGTCAAAATGAAAATGCGAAAATGGGAACAGGAACAAAAGTTAAAATTTTCTGTTTTCAAAAATTTCTCAGATTTTGATGAAAAAGTTTTCTGAAAGTCAAGATTTGCAGAATTTGGAAAAATCAGACAAAAGCAAGCCTGAAATTATCATAAAAGTTCAAAATCCAAAAAAATTTAGCACCAACTTTCTCTCCAAAAATTCGTCAAAATTTTCAGTTTTCACAAAAAGATGTAATATTTTTATCACATATAAAATTGTTTTCTTTTTGTTTTCAACGAAAACCAGTTTCTTTGTGGTGTTTTTTAAGTCAATTTAGGGAAAAAAAATCGTCAAAATTTTCAAAATATTTTCTGTAACAATTTCGAAGATGGTTTTTATTGGTTTCGAAAGTTTTCTGAAAAAATTAACAATTGTTAGGTTTCCAACAAAGTCAAAATGAAAATACGAAAATGACAACAGGAACAAAAGTTAAAATTTTCTCTTCTCAAAAATTTCTCAGGTTTTGATGAAAAAGTTTTCCGCAAGTCAAGATTTGTAAAATTTGGAAAAATCAGACAAAAGCAAGCCTGAAATTATCATAAATGGTCAAAATCCAAAAATGTTAGCACTAATTTACTTTTCAAAAATGCGTCAAAATTTTCAATTTTTCACAAAAAGATGTAATTTTTAACGAATTTGTTTTCCTTTTTTCATCAAAAACCAGTTTCTTCACTGTGTTTTTTATTTAAGTCAATCGAAGAGCAAAATATTATTATTATTGTAACATTCTGGTCTTAATTTTCAATTTTTTCAGAAAAAATTCGCAGTTAAGTTTTCAACAAACCCAAAATAGACAAAACGAAAATGTTCTGGTTTCAAAAATTTTTCAGATTTTGCCAAAAAAGTATTCACAAGTTAAAATTTGCAAAAATTAAACAGTAACAGATGTCAAATTAGTCTGAAAGCGCATAATACAAAATTTTTAGTACTCTTTACTTTTCAAAAATCAGTCAAAATTTTATATAAAAAAATTGTTGTTTCGTCATATTTTGTTTTCTTTTCAACCGAAAGAAATTTCTGTAAGCTACTTTTAGCTTCTTAGATTTCCTAGAAACCCAGAAAACACCGAAAATGACAGAAAAGTGAAAATTTTCTGGTTTTCAAAAATTTCTCTAAAACCAATAATACAACAAGTTTGAACATTTTCTTACTTTTCAAAAATTCGTCAAAATTGTAGGGTATTTTTGCGTCAGATTTTTCTAATTTTCAGCTACAATTAGTAAATTTGTCAATATTATCTAAATATTTTCGATAATAACTTCGAAGTGAGTAAGTAGTGTTATTATTGTTAAGCATTTTGTCCTGGTTTTCAAATTTTTAGTGAACAAATAGAAAGCTTTCAAATTTCGTAGAAACCTAAAAAGAAAAAAAGTCAAAATTATCTATTTTTCAAAAATGTACAAAAATAGCAACACAGAAAGAACTAAAAAACTCATAATTTAAAAATTCTTCAAAAATTTGTCAACATTTTAAAAACACAAAAAGACAAGTACCCAAAAACTAATACAAAAATAAAAAATCGGTTATGCAACCAGCAATACACCCAAATTAAAATTAATTTTTTACAAAAAATAGAACGATCGATTTTTAAATTCTAGCGATATAAGACTATAATTTTGTTGGTTTGCCCTTTAGTTCACCCTATATAACCCAAATTTGTGATTTTTGATCCTTCACTGTTTCATTTTTCTTATATTGGCACCTTCCCCAGCTGTCATTCTTATCTCCGCAGTGCTGGTTGCCTACCCCAACCATCTTGTTTATAGGTCGAAGCAAAAATATGTTACTGAAAACCCCCACAACCAGTGCGACATTCCAGCCGAAAAAATGCTAAACCACCACTAATCCGCAATGGAACCCCCACAGCCCCCCGCCGATCTCACCCCGGCCTCAGCACCTGCTAAACCTGACCCGAACAAAGTCGAACTGAAACAAGACATGACATGCAACAACAACGACGAAAATGCAAGACCGCACGAAGACCGCATCAAAGAACTAGTGGAGAAGTGCACCAACCTGGAGGCCAAACTGGACCTGGTAAATCACCACTCGAATCAATAATTAAAAAACTGACCCACATTTTTAGGTGACCAGGCAGAAGGAGCTCGCCCAGAAAGAAAAAGAAGCCATGGTGGTGAAGTACGCCATCAGCGAGAAGAACGTGCTGGACGTGAAGCACCAGAAGGAACAAATCGAGAAGAAATACAAGGAACAAGTAGCCGAGAACGAGATTATTCAGCATAAGGTGCAAGTGATGGTGTCTGAGAAGGCGCGGATTTGCCAGATGTTCGACAACAAGTGCTACGAGTACAAGAACTGCCAGCAGGAGTTGGAGCAAGTCAAGGCGGATTTGAATGCTTTGGAGACCAAGCTGAAGTGGTCCCAGAATAGCTTGAAAACAGAAATTCAACTCCATAAAGTAAGTACATAAGTGACAAAATCGTATAACGCGGGTAGCAAAGACGCAAACCCTTTCTGTAAAAAGCACGAATGACAGATGGCACTTTAAAATTTAAAAATGTCTTTCTTTACAGGAAAGTCAGTCAAAAGTTGACGAACTCAATAAAAAGGTGAAAGAGAGCACCGATGTAATCGAGCAAGCCAAACGCGAAGCGCAAGAATCCATAAAGACATTCCACACCTCCCAGGATAACCGCGCCCACGTGCTCGATCAACAACTCAAAGAACAACAAGCGACCTTGATCCTCCTCAAGCACGAAAAAGATGATAAAGAACAACAACTCAAAGCCCTCAATCTCCAACTGGAGAAGCTTCAAACTAAACAAAGAGATATGTTACAAGAAAACAACGATCTTTCTCTTAAGGTACAACAACTCGAGCGTGACCGTTTGGAGACGGAGCAGAAACTGAGCGACTTCCGGGCATGCGCAGACCAACAAAGACAAGACTGTGCGGACCTCCAGGCCAAGACGACGCTCTTAGACCAGTTGAACCTCCAGCTGAAGCACGAACAAGAACAAAACAAGGGGTGCAACGACCAGATTTGTTTGTTGAAGCAGAGGAACCTGGAGCTGGAGAGCGACATCGTCGCCTGCAGGGAACGCGAAGCCGAGTTGTTGTTGTTCACCCAGCAGCTGACCGACAAGAACGTGCGGCTGCAGTCGGAGTTCACGGCATTGGAAACCAAAGTGCAGCAACTCAGCTGCGAGCAAAACCTGCTGAAGAGGGCGCTCAAAGAACAAGAGACCAAGAGCGGGATGGTGACCCTCCAGGTGGCACAAGAACGGCAGAAGTTCACCGAAGAACTCGACTCCTTGAGGACGACTTTAACCGACAAAACGACTCAGTGCGACAAGTTTAAACAAGAAGCGAGTGACCACAAAGGCGAGAATAAATTACTAAAAAGAAAGTTCGAGTTGTCCTTGAAAGAAATAAACAAGGAGCTCCAGCAGTGCCGCAAGAAGCTCGAGCACTACGAAATCCTCGAGAACAAGAGCAGCAGCAGCTCGAACTCGTCCTTGAACGTGGATCGCTCCAACGGCTCGCCTGAACAAGTCAAGGTCATCCAACCCGACGCCGCTCTCGACCGACAAACCCTGATCGAGCACATCGTCAAGCTCCAACGGATCAGCGCCCGGAAATCGGAGAAGCTGGACTTCCTGGAGGAGCACGTGAACACTCTGGTGCTGGAGCTGCAGAAGAAGTCGAGGCTGTTGCAGAGCTACGTGCTGAGGGACCAGGCCGGGACTCTCACGTCGAATACGATGGATAATAATAAGGTGAGTGTGATTGGCGCAGTCGGGTGGATGGGTTTTAATGTGAATTTTTTCATGCAGTCTTCTTCCAAGTTTTGGTAATGTAGGGGTGTTTTGGGGGAGTTTTTGGTAAAGAGGGTGTTTTTTTTTAGGCGAACATAGCCAAGTTGAATGGAGTTATGGCATCCGTGTATAGCTGTCGAGTAGCTGATGATAAACTCACGCTCGAGTTGTCTCTAGATATAAATCGGAAGCTACAGGCTGTACTGGAGGATGCCCTGTTGAAAAATATCACTTTGAAGGTAGGTGCATGTAAGATTTTTTCGCAAGTCCAGCAGCGATTTTTTGGGGAATGGATTTGTTTTACACGAGACAAAGCTAATTCTTAAAAATCCATAACATTAATAAAACTCGTAACTCTACTTTTTCGGAAAAAAAAACAAAATAAAAAAGTTTTCTCGAACATTGTTGAATTAGTTTTGGGTAGTTTTGAGGAGCTTTGAAGTTTTGACAATTTTTACTTTTTCGAAATATCAACGTTTTCCTTGAGGATTTTACAACCTTGGGAACCTTAAGACTTCATTTTTAAGAAGTTTGAAAATGAAATTTTTGGAAAAAATATGTATTTAATAGTTTTGCGAAGATACAAAATCTTGTGGTTTCAATCGTTTTTTGTTTTTCTTATCGCTTGTAATTTTCAAGCTTTTTGCTGGATTTTTTCTGTTGATTTTTTGGCGCTTTTTGACTTTTCTTATCGTTTTTGTCTTTCCTGTGTCTTTTTTTTGTCGCTTTTTTGTTGCTCTCTTACGCCTTTTTTTTTTGAGTGTTTTGTTGTTATTTTCTTCGACTTTTGCTGTTTTTTTTGTTGCCTTGTTTTTCTTTTCTCTTTTTCGTGTTTTTTCAGGTCACTGGTTTTTTGTATATTTTTATCGGCCTTTTGGCCACTTTTTGGTGTTGTTTTGTCATTTTGTATGCTTTGTATTATTGCGTTTTTATCTCCTTTTTTATTAGATTTTTGTCTTTTGTCGTCTTTTTTTTCGTTGCGTTTTTTTTTGGTGTTTTTTTTCTTTCTCGCATTTTTTTTACATTTTATGGCATTATTTTTTTACATTATTTATGGTTTTTGGTCATGGTTTTTCTGTGTATTTTTATTTGCTTTTTTTTCGCCGTTTTTTCGTGTTTGCTGTTTATTAATCCCCCTTTTTGAGTGTTTTTTTTTTGTTATTTTTTTCGACTTTTGGTGTTTTTTTTTTGTCACTTAATTTTTGTATATTTTGTCATTTTTTGTCGCGATTTTTCTTCGCCATTTTTGTCGCTTTTTTGTTGGCCTTTTTTTTCTGTTGATCTTTTGTCGCTTTTTTCTCTTTTTTCGGTTTTGTGGTTTTTGACATTTTTTGAAATGCTTTTTGTTAGTGCATTTTTGCATTTTTTGTTGCATTTCAATCTCCTTTTTATCAGATTTTTGCCTTTTGTTGTCCTTTTGTTCGTCGCCTTTTTTGGTGTTTTTTCCGACGGTTTTTTGTGTTATTTTTTATCGCCTATATTTTTCAAGCTTCTTGTTGCATTTTTTTCTGTTGACTATTTGTCGCTTTTTGATTTTTGTCCGTTTTTATGTCATTTTTTCGTCGCTATTTTGTTGCTCTCTTTCGCCTTTTTTTTTAGTGTTTTTTTGTTACTTTCTTAGACTGATTTTTTGTGGCTTAATTTTTGTATATTTTGTCACTTTTGTGCTTTTTGTTCGCCATTTTCGTGTTTTTTTTTTGTTAACCTTTTTTTTGCTTTTTTTTCTTTTTAAGTATTTTTTTTATGCTTTTTATTATTGCGCTTTTGCATTTTTTTGTTACGTTTTTATCTCCTTTTTTATCAGATTTTTGTCTTTTGTTGTCCATTTTTTCGTTGTCTTTTTTTTTGGTGTTTTTTTTATTTTTTGTTTTGTGTTTTTTCGACTTTTTTTGGTGTTCTTTTTATCGCTTTTGTTCTCTCTCTCTCTCTCTCTCTCTCTCTTGCTTTTTTTTTGCATTTTTTCGCCGTTTTTTCTTGTTTGCTTTTTAATCCCCCTTTTTGAGTGTTTTTTTTTTTGTAATTTTTTTCAACTTTTGGTGTTTTTTTTGTCGTTTAATTTTTGTATATTTTCTCATTTTCTGTCGCGCTTTTCCTTCGCCATTTTTCGTCGTTTTCTTGTTGCTCTTTTTTTCTGTTGATCTTTTGTCACTTTTTTCTTTTTTTCGTGTTTTTTTCGGGTCATGGTTTTTTGCATCTTTTTATCGGTCTTTTTTCCGCTTTTTTTGTGGTTTTTGCCATTTTTTTAATGCTTTTTGTTATTGCGTTTTTGCATTTTTTGTTGCAACTTTTTATCAGATTTTTGTCTTTTTTTTTGCATCATGATTGTTGCCTTTTTCTTTTTTGGTGTTTTTTCGGCTTGTTTTTTTTACGAAGTTTTTTTTGGGTATTTTTTTGATCGATTTTTTGTTCTTTCTCTCACTTTTTTTCATTTTTAGTTTTTTTTTTAATTTATTTTTTAATTTCTCTTTGTTTTTCTGTGCATTTTTTAGCCGCCTTTTTCGCCTTTTTTTTGGCTGTTTTTTTTTTATTTTTTAAATTTCTCTTTGGTTGTTTGCCCATTTTTTTTGTTAATTTTGTCATTTTGCGTCTTTTTGTTCCTTTTTTTAGTCGTTTTTCTTGTTGTTTCAAAATTTTTGCTGCTGATTTCTTGTGATTTTTTGTGTTCCTTTTTTTACGTTTTTTTTGACGCTTTTTTTGGGGGGATTTTTTGGTGTTTTTTTCGAACTTTTTTGTTGTTTTCTTTTTCTTTTTTTTTGTTGCGTTTTTTCATTTCTGTTTTTTATTTTTTTGCTTTATTTTTGCAGTTTTTTTAATGTTGTTTTCTTCGTACTTTTTTTGTTCCCTTCTTTTAATTATGTGCCTTTTTTTGTTGCTTTTTTTTTTTGGTCTGTTTGGACGTTTTTTGTTACTTTCTTTGCTTTTTGTTATTGTGTTTATTAATTTTTGTATTCCTTTTGTTTTTTTTTGAAGTGTTTTATCTTTTTTTTCGCCGCTTTTTTGTTGTCATTTTTGCGCATTTTTTGGGTGCTTTTTGTTACTTTTTCCGACTTTTGATGTTTTTTTTGTTGTTTAATTTTTGTTTATTTAGTCACTTTTTCGCACATTTTGTTCCCCATTTTTTCGTCGTTCTTTTTTGTTGCCCCCTTTTCTGCTGATTTTTTGTTTCTTTTTATGTGGTCACGATTTTTTTGTTGTTTTTTGCGATTTTTGATGTTTTTTCGACTTGTTTTTTTAACCTTTTTCTTGATCTTTTTTGTTGACCTTTTTTCTGTTGATCTTTCGTCGCCTTTTTCTCTTTTTCGTGTTTTTTTCGGGTTACGTTTTTTTGTATCTTTTTATCGGTCGTTTTTGCCGCTTTTTTGTGGTTTTATCTTTTTATTATTGCGTTTTTTCATTTTTTGCTTTATCTTTGCAGTTTTTTTAATGTTGTTTTTTTCGTTTCTTTTTTTTGTTACCTGTTTTTACCAGCGTTTTTTGTTACCTTTTTTCGTCTGTTTGGAAGTTTTTTGTTACTTTCTTTTATTATTGCGTTTAGTCATTTTTTTATGGTCTTTTTTTAGTTTTTTTTTGAGTGTTTTTATCTCCTTTTTTCGTCGATTTTTTGTTTTCATTTTTTCACCTTTTTTGGATTCTTTTTGTTACTTTTTCCGACTTTTGGTGTTTTTTCCTTGTTTAATTTTTATTTGTTTTGTCACTTTTTTGGATATTTTGTTCCCTATTTTTTCGCCTTTTTTTGTTATCCTTTTTTTTCTGTTGATTTTTTGTTGCCTTTTGTTGTCACGTTTTTTTTCTTTCTTTTGTTGCCTTTTTTGGTGGTTTTTTCGGCTTGTTTTTTTACCCTTTTCTTTGAGATTTTTCTCGTTTTTTTAAAATCTTTTTATCACCTTTCTTTTGTTGCATTTTTTGTCGTTCTCCTTTCTACTTTTTTGTTGTCCTTTTCTTTGTCACTTTTGGCCTCATTTTTGCATTTTTTTTTTTGGTATTTTTTCGCCTTTTATATAGTACTTTTTGTCTTTTTTTTGTTTCTTTGTTATTGCGTTTATTCGTTTCTTTTTTTATACTTCTTTTTTTTTCGTTTTTTGATTTTTTTTGTCCTTTTTTTTTGAGTGTGACATTTTCGTCGTAATTTTTTCGCCAGTTTAGGGTGGTTTTTATTATTTTTTCCGACTTTTGTTTTTTTGTCGCTTAATTTTTGTTTATTTTATCATTATTTTTCACACATTTTGTTTCTTATTTATTCGTAGTTTTTATTTTGTTATTTTTTTGCGCCTTTTTTGTTGTCATGATTTTTTTTGTTGACTTTTTTGTGTCGATTTTTGATGTTTTTTCGTCTTATTTTTTTAACCTTTTTTGCGTTTTTTTGGCGTCTTTTTATCACCTTTTTTTTTGTTGCATGTTTTTGTCTTTCTCTTTGCTACTTTTTTTGTTGTCTTTTTTCTTTGTCGCTTCTTTTTATCTCTTTGGGTGATTTTTGTTACTTTTTGCTTTTTTGGCGCTTTTTTTTACTTTGTCTTTTGTTCCTTTTTTCCGGTTCATTTTTTTACCTTTTTTTCATTTTTTTTTGTTGGTCATGATTTTTTTCTTCATACTTATTTTGTTGTTGACCTTTGCGGGTTTTTTTCATGGCTTTTATAATCTCTTTTGTCGTTCTTTTGAGCGTTTTTTGCTATTTGTTCTGTTTTTTGTTCTTTTTTGATATTTGTGTCTTTTTTTAACCGCTTTTTTAATTTTGTCCCCATTTTTATCTGCCTTTTTCGGTCGTTTTTTGCTACTTTATCTGTTTTTTTGTGCTTTTTTGTAGCCTTTATTACCTTGTCAATTTTTACCGCGTTTTTTTTTTGTTTTTTCGTTATTATTTCTGGCTTTTTTGTTACTTTTTTCGTTTTTGAAAATAGAAATTCGAAGATTGTTTACTTGAAAAATTTTGAACTATTTTTAAGCAACTTGTTAAAAATGTCAATTTTTGAGTATTTTTAAATTTGAAAGTTGTGCTGAGGATTTTAAAAACGAATGTTATTTTGAAACTGGCAATCTTATTTTCAAAATACGAATTTCTGAAAAAAAGACAAATTTTAATAATTTGGAATTTATACAATTTTGTAATTTGGAATCTTCTGAATTTTGGAACATTAAAAAATTGTGTACATGCCTACTGAAAATTTGAAAGAAATACTGTGAAGATTGTTACATTCCTAATCTTCAGACTTTTCAAGAATCCTGCCATTTTTAAAATTTAAAAAAAAATTGGAAATCCTTTTTGGGAAAAATGTTGGCCCCAAATAAAAAATCGCTGCCCATTCTTTAAGCCCGCATTGTCTGACCAATCCCGTTTGTTCAGGAGAACGTGGACACTCTGGGCAAAGAAATCGATCGACTAAACACCCTTCTCAAATCATAATTGTATTATACCAAGTATTAATTAAACGTAACTAAGAATAATAATTTATTGTATGTATCTAAAAAGTCGAATAAATGTATGAAACGATGATTCAGTCAATATCGTCGATCGAAACCTCCTCGTAGTCCTTTTCCAACATCGCCAGATCCTCCCTCGCCTCGTTAAACTCGCCCTCTTCCATCCCCTCATGGATGTACCAGTGCACGAACGCCCTCTTCGCAAACATCAAATCGAACTTCTTGTTCAGCTTATTCCACGCCGACTCGATGGCCGTCGTGTTCGACAGCATACACGCCGCCCTCTGCACGCGCGCTAAATCCCCCCCAGGCACCACCGTGGGCGGCTGGTAATTAATCCCCACCTAAAACAATCATCGTTAGCGCTAAGTTTGAAAAAAAAAATCGTCTATACCTTGAACCCCGTCGGACACCAGTTGACGAATCGGATGTTGCTCTTCGTCTTCATCTGCGCTATCGACGCGTTCACGTCCTTGGGCACCACGTCCCCCCGGTACAGCAGACAGCACGCCATGTACTTGCCGTGGCGCGGGTCGCACTTGACCATCTGGTTGCTCGACTCGAACAGCTCCGACGTGATCTCCGACACCGACATCCCCTCGTGGAAGGCCTTGTCGGAGGACACCACCGGCGCGTACGACGCCAGCGGGAAGTGGATGCGCGGGTAGGGCACCAGGTTGGTCTGGTACTCCGTCAAGTCCACGTTGAGGGCGCCGTCGAAGCGCAGCGACGCCGTGATGGACGACACCACCTGGCTGATCAGCCGGTTGAGGTTGATGTAGTTGGGGCGCTCGATCCCTAATTTCTTGCGACAGATGTCGTAGATGGCCTCGTTGTCCACCATGAAGGCGCAGTCGGTGTGGCCCAGGGTGGTGTGCGTGGTTAGGATGGAGTTGTAGGGTTCCACGACGGCGGTGCACACCTGGGGCGCGGGGTAGATGACGAACTCGAGCTTGCTTTTCTTGCCGAACTCCTCGGAGAGGTTCTCCATGAGGAGGGAAGTGAAGCCGGAGCCGGTGCCGCCGCCGAAGGAGTGGAAGACGAGGAAACCTTGCAAGCCGGAGCACTGCTCGGCCATCTTGGAGAGCTTGTCCATGACCACGCTGATCATTTCTTTGCCTATGGTGTAGTGGCCGCGGGCGTAGTTATTAGCGGCGTCCTCTTTCCCGGTGATGAGTTGCTCCGGGTGGTAGAGTTGTTTGTACTTGCCGGTCCGGACTTCGTCTAAATTGGGGTAAGGGGGTGAGGGTTCGGGCGGGTTGTGGCTACCTACCGACCACCGTGGGCTCCAGGTCCACCATGAGGGACCTGGGGACCATGTTCCCGTTCTCCACTTCGTAGAAGAAGGTGCCGTAGCAGTTGTCAGATACGATCTCGCTCTGGTCCTTCAGGCTCCCGTCGGGTTGTATCCCGTGCTCCAGACAGTACAGCTCCCACGTGGTGTTCCCGATCTGGACGCCGGCTTGGCCGATGTGGACGGAAATACATTCCCTCTACAACTGAAGCGTGTTGGGTGTGGAGATGGTGACGTAACTTACCATTCTGGCGCCTCTTCAAAAATTTAACACACAAATTTAAATTACATACGATTTGGATGTGCGAAACTCGTCGAAATTTTGAAAAGTTTGTTTACTTCATGCCAGGGGTGGAGCCATGGAGACGATGGCAGCCACTTGATTCGTAAGTTTGTCACTCAAACAAAGAGAGAATAGATTCTAAGATTTATTATCACAACAGTGTCATCAATAAATACATCATGGTCAAACCAAGTGCTTTGACATTCTCAGAGTAACTTGCAAAATAACACACTTCCAGTCTATACAGTTTTATTTTCATATGTAGATTAACAACAAGGAACGATTAAAATGTTTTTCACCACCAAAACATTTTACTCTTTCCACGTAAAGCAAGAATAATCCTTCGGAAAACGAACTTGTAGCAAGCGTTATATTTCTAATAGAGTAACTGCTATGGATTACATCATAGAATCTGTATTATTAGAATTAGATCTAGAATGAGTAGGTCTGGAATTTTCTAAAGAACTCGAACTACTTGACGCGTTGTGGGCGGGTAGTAAGATGTTTTGCAATATGTTGACGCTATCTTGTCCTGCAATCAAACAACAATGAAAAAAATTGACCGGATTAGTGAGTAGAACTAACCCCCACTTGACGAATCTTGATTACAGTCACTACTTTGTTCGTCAGTTATTAAATTCTGCCTACATATGGGACATGTACCATGCAGCTCTAGCCATGGCCGTATGCATGGTTCATGGTAGATGTGGGTACATGGTAACTGTCGGACGTTCTCGCCCAACATGAAGTCTTCCCAACACACGGAACATTGTAACTTGGCGTCCACCTGATCCGCTTTCACGTTTATGATTGGTAGAGCGTCTATTACTTCTTTTGACACAGGAGGCGGTCCTGCAACGATGACATTGTTAAACCCAATAATACCAACATTAAAAAATAGTCTAGTTAATTAGACAGAAATTTCTTGGCCCTCCAGCTTAGCTTAGTTCAGGTCAGGTCAGGTCATATCATGTAATGTCAACTCAGGTCAGATTTTGACAACAAAAATTTAATAATAATTAAAAATGTTTAATTATAGACCATTCAGAATGGGAGCGCAGCGAGCACGTCCGAGGAGCTAAATTATTAGCTAAAATATTACTGTTGTTTACAAAGTCTGTTGAAAAATTATTTTGTGATCTTAAGTGACTAAAGAACTCAAATATCCTGAATGTGCTCGCTGCGCTCGCCTTTTTGAGGCCGTTTTACTTTCCATGGTAATTTACCTTGACAGGGACACCTTGAGATTGATTCGTAAATGTTTTAATTATCCAAGAAAAAAAAGATAACCAAAATATTGTTTAAAAAAAGCGTTTTTAAAAATTGTTTTGTGATCATTACTGACTGTGGAACTGTCATATCGTGAACGTGCTCGCTGCGCTCCCATTTTAGACCATGATTTTTTCAAAGTAATTTAGCTTGACAGGGACGGACATCTTCAGAATGATTCGTAAATTAATAAATTATTTGAGGTATTAAAACAAAGAGAACGTTCAGAAGGCGAGCGCAGCGAGCAATTTCAGCGAGAAGCTAAATTATGAATCAAATATTAAATATTATTGTTGTTTCAAAAAGCGTGTTTAAAAATTATTTTGTGACCATTACCGACTGTGGAACTGTGGACGTGCTCGCTGTGCTCGCATTTTGGAGGGTATTTTTTCCGAAGCAATTTAGCTTGACACGGACATCTTGACAATTATTCGTAAATGTTCGTAAATATTTTCATTGGGGCAATTATAAAAAAAGAACGGTAAAAATACGAGCGCAGCGAGCACGTTTAGGTGTTATCATAGTTTATTTTTTTAAAGTAATAAATATTGAGTTTTATTATTACAACATAACCTAAAAATATTTGCTGGGATTCCTAGATAACTTTATGGAATTAAGCTCTACAAAATTTTAAATGACAGTTCTTTATCGAGCAAAATTTTGAATACCATAACCATCTTTTCACAACAAAAAACTTAAAACATGACATTAAAATGATACATTTTTGGAGGGAAATATGGATTTTGCAATTATGGGGCGGAGCCTAATTCCAAAATCCTTATACAAATTCTCCATTTTAAGCATATTTTAAGTTTCATGTTGTGAAAAGAAATCTACACATGTTAAAACAAAAAGGCAAAAATTTAAGCCCGCCCACCCGCCCTGTCTCAATTGTGATGATTTTTTTCATTCGCGGTGAATCAAAAGAGGCGGGGCTTAACTGCAAAATACTTATTTCGTTACAAGAACTTAAAAACATGTTTTTGAGTATGGTATTGTTCAAAGAATACTATGTATATTAAGAAAAAAAGGCAAAATATAAACCCCGCCCACCCGCCCCATCTCAATTGTGATGATTTTTATTCTTAGAAACTAGAAACACGTTTAAAATAGTAAATTTTTATAGGAAATATGAATTTTGCAGTTAAGCTCCGCCCTCTTGGCTCACGACGAATAAAAAAGAATCATTACAACTGAGATAGGGTGGGTGGGCGGGGCATATATTTTGCCTTTTTGTTTTCTTAATACCATTACCATCTTTTCACAACAAAAAACTGAAAGTATGGTTAAAATGATACACTTTTGAAGGGAAATATGGATTTTGCAATTACGGGACGGAGCCTAATTCCAAAATCCTTATACAAATTTTCCATTTTAAGCATATTTTAAGTTACATGTTGTGAAAAGAAATCTACACATGTTAAAAAAAAAAGACAAAAATGTAAGCCCGCCCACCCGCCCTGTCTCAATTGTGATGATTTTTTTTATTCGCGGTGAATCAAAAGAGGCGGGGCTTAACTACAAAATACTTATTTCGTTACAAGAACTTAAAAACATGTTTTTGAGTATGGTATTGTTCAAAGAATACAATGTATATTAAGAAAAAAAAGCAAAATATAAACCCCGCCCACCCGCCCCTTCTCAATTGTGATGATTTTTATTCTTAGAAACTAGAAACACGTTTAAAATAGTAAATTTTTGTAGGAAATATGAATTTTGCAGTTAAGCTCCGCCCTCTTGGCTCACGACGAATAAAAAAGAATCATTACAACTGAGATAGGGTGGGTGGGCGGGGCATATATTTTGCCTTTTTGTTTTCTTAATACCATTACCATTTTTTCACAACAAAAAACTTCAAGTATGGTTAAAATGATACATTTTTGAAGGGAAATATGGATTTTGCAATTATGGGGAGGAGCCTAATTCCAAAATCCTTATACAAATTTTCCATTTTAAGCATATTTTAAGTTTCATGTTGTGAAAAGAAATCTACACATGTTAAAACAAAAAGACAAAAATGTAAGCCCGCCCACCCGCCCTGTCTCAATTGTGATAACTTTTTTTATTCGCGGTGAATCAAAAGAGGCGGGGCTTAACTGCAAAATACTTATTTCGTTACAAGAACTTAAAAACATGTTTTTGAGTATAGTATTGTTCAAAGAATACTATGTATATTAAGAAAAAAAGGCAAAATATAAACCCCGCCCACCCGCCCCATCTCAATTGTGATGATTTTTATTCTTAGAAACTAGAAACACGTTTAAAATAGTAAATTTTTGTAGGAAATATGAATTTTGCAGTCAAGCTCCGCCCTTTTGGCTCACGACGAATAAAAAAGAATCATTACAATTGAGATAGGGTGGGTGGGCGGGGCATATATTTTGCCTTTTTATTTTCTTAATACCATTACCATCTTTTCACAACAAAAATTTAAAACATGGTTAAAATGATACATTTTTGAAGGGAAATATGGATTTTGCAATTATGGGGCGGAGCCTAATTCCAAAATCCTTATACAAATTCTCTATTTTAAGCATATTTTAAGCTTCATGTCGTGAAAAGAAGTCTACACATATTAAAACAAAAAGGCAAAATGTAATTTATCACGTGTACCATAACCTTAAAAACTTTGCACGATTTCAGAAGATTTGGTTTGCAATGTCAAAGTTAAGTTGTAAAATCAAGCCGGATTCATAAACCACAAATATTATGACATTTTATAAATCGCGCAAATTTTTTTCACGAATCGTCGAGAAACCATGAAATTAGCCGTTCACTCGATGGACTCTGTATTTACTCACCTGTACTGTCCATTTGATTCAACAACTGCGTGACGATGGCGTCGAGGCCTTCGCGCCCCCACGCGTAGTCCCCCGGGTTCCCCAAAAACAGCTGCATGTTTCCCGCTGCGCCCCAATTCAAGCCCACTCCTAAATTTACAATAAAATCCTGTATAAGATTCTCGAATGGCACGTTCTGCCTCAAATTTGAAGAAGCTAGTCTTGTTAGCGTCCTGCAACAAAAGCGTAAATTAATGCCTTGATTCGAGCGCCGCGGAAGCCGATTAAAAGCATGCTAGAAATGGTTAAAGTTCCAACCTGGGCCGAACTATCCTGGCGCGATTTACTGCATACCTTCTGCCGCTACGGTGACCATCTGTTCGGTTACGTCCTGTTCTGAAGTCTTCCATAGCGGGGGTCAATAGGAGTTCGTTAAAGTCCATCTGGAACGGGAAAATTGGGTTGAGGTTTTTGCATAAGTTGTTATCTTGGATCTTTTAGAAACAATTATCTGAATTATCAGGTGATTGTGTAAATATGGATTTGATGTTGGCGTGGCTGTTTTGCTTTGGAAATGCAAGGTTTGAGCGCTTGTCCCTCGGGAACTGTTTGAATAACCCGGTTGTCTGAGCCCCCATACTTACATCACTGCTATCGTCGTCCTCGTCGATGTCCCCTCCCGTCTCCCTGCTCTCCGGGATCTCCTGTAGCTCCTCGATGAACCCATCCGAGCAATGTGGGCAAGTGAAATTCTGCAAAGGCCAAACTGACATTCTAACCATTATCAGCATTGATTACTTACAGCCGAGGCGTTCTCGAATTGAACGTTGCACATGTGACAATAGAACTTCTGGTGAGGCCGGTCTTCCACTGCCGCTTCTGCCATTTCCACGTTTTCTGCGCTTCGTAACACTTAATTCAAAGATTTAATCGAAATTCACGATAATCTGCCCTTTTTTGACCACCATATTAACTACAACAAATTTAGCGACTTGCTGCCAACCGCCCGAAAACAAAATACCCAGACACAAACCGGGCGAAAATGCCGAGAAAACCCCTCGCCGAAGCCGGGAAAGCGCCCACAAACGATTTTCCGAGCCCGATGTGCTGGTCGTAGACGACAAAAGACAGGAACACGCAACGCACACGTCAGACGGAAATCACCAGAGGTTGGCACGAGGTCACGGGGAAATGCGCACTGGATTTGTGTGTGGTCGGAAGCGGCGTTTTTTGATCGTTAATCGGCGACGATTTTGTTTTTTGTGGAAAATCGGGAGGAAAGTGCGACGAGGTGTCAGTCTAGTGGTCGTGGACGCGGCGCAAAATCACCAGAGGGGGTTGGCAACACTGGGATGGGTGTAACTGTCGTTTGTTGACGTTTGAGTCATAGCGATGATTTGATCGAATTGTTTAACGAAGTGACCACGAATTTACTTTTTTCGTAGCTAAATTGCCTGGGAAAAGCGTGTGATGTGATGGAAAGCGTCAATTTTCTTTTTTTGTGTTTGTGTCTTGGTGGAGCGGGCGTGCTGGCAGGTAACGTAACGATAGTGATTACGATGGGTTGTGATAAGATAACGTGGTGATAAGGGGAAATTTTCAGTTTGTTTTGAGAATTAATCGATAAGGATTGTTTGTGCACAAGTTGGGGATCCTTAAAGGGTATTTTAAGACTCTGAGATGCGTTTGTTGCTAGGAGTGATTTGCTGATTCGTAGAAAGTTCTACATGGATTTGCATATTAATGATGGTTTATTGATAATTAACTTGTACTTGGTGGCATTGTTACGTACTTTTATCCTGACTCTTGACCCTTGCTTTAGTGGGGACTTGCGGCTTATTTAATTTAATTTAATTGGATTAGGTAGCAGTGAAGAATCAGACAGGGTTATAACCTGCAGTTCTTTTAATTTAAAGCCACTAAAATTCCTAGGGACTAAATTTTTTATGAGACACTTGTTTTTTAAAAAAAATTTTAGAGTCTAGAGTGCGTTTCAGGAAGTGTGGAAGGGTGGGGGTAAGACCAGCATGCGCGTCGAGCATTCTATCCACAAGTTTTTCATTTTGTGTATTCAAATTATTGACAAATACCATTTGTGCAGCCCTGTTACTCGTATAGGTGTAGGACATGCTTCATTTTTTGCTGTAATGACGTCAGCCACTCAAAAAATGAAACTGTAAACAAATACAAAGTGTCTCATCTAATAATTTCATACTGTAGAGTATGAAATACTCACCAACTAAGGTAAAACATTGTCTGCAACATTTGCACGTCCCCCAACCAAGTATACTATTTGGGCACGGACACTCTGGGGGTTCATGGCAAGCAAAATTTTCACATGGTGGACACACCATGGCAGCCGCTGTATATGCCAACCCCGATATAAATAATAATAAAATGGTGGCTTTCATGTTGGAGAAAGTGTTCGTTGAATTGAAAACAAACTATAACTGGAAGGTTAATTTGCTGGTTAAATACACAGCGATGTCACGAGGCGTCACATATCAGTAATAGAATGTGATAAAAAAAAGTTACTTTTGGAATTCTGTGCACTAATTTATGTGCATATTTCCTGAATGCTACGAAAATTATGAATTTTAACGTTGTTTACATGTAGTTAATATTTTAAAGAATGAATACATTGCAGCTCAAAAGTCTCCTCAAAGAAATATATAATTAATTATATTTCATTTGTGTTATATATTGTATTATATTCTTTAACAAGACCTAATTTAAATATTTCTTCTGTCTGCCACTTTTGTTTTTCATGGAGACTAAAAAATTTTTGGTTATCTTGCGCCAAATTTACCTGACTTGGTTGACCTGATGTTGCTTGACGTAACCAGATTGCCCTGACTTGACATACCTTGATTTGCCTTGGATTGACCTGACTCATCTTGACATATTCTAACTTGACTTGACTCGATCTGCCTTCCCTTGACCTAATTTGCTCTGACTTGTCTTAGTTTGACGCAATTTGACTTGCCTGACCTGACTTAGCTTGTCATAACCTAATTTGCCTTCACGTGACTTGCGTTGACTTGACTTTGTTTGACATACCTTGACCTGACTTCATTTACATTGTCATGACCTGACTTGGTTCAACCTGACTTCATTTGACTTGTCTTGACTTCATTTGACTGGCCTTGCCTCCACCTGATCTGACTTGACCTATTTGCCTTTCGCTGACTTTACTTTGTCTAACTGGCCTTGAACTGACTTGCCCTGAGCTGACTTAGTTTCAATAATTAGATTTGCGTTAACCGACTTGGCTTATGATCTGATTTGACTTGACTTGACTTCATTTGACTTGGCTCGTCATGACCAGATCTGGTTTATCTTGACCGGGCTTGGCATGACTTGACTTAGATTGACATACTTTGACTTGCCTTGGATTGACATGACCTGACTTGGCTTGAATTGATCTGACTTGTTCTGACCTCACTTATCTTGACATAATCTATCTTGCTTGTCATGCCCTGACTTCATTTGTTTTGTTTTGACATCGCCTGATTTGGCTTGACCCGATCTGCCTTACCTTGACCTAATTTGTTCTGACTTCACTTAGCTTGACACAATTTGACTTGGCTTGGTATGACCTGACTTGGATTGACCCGATCTGACTTGCGTGGCCTGACTTAGCTTGGCATAATCTAACTTGCCTTGACGTGACTTGCTTTGCTTGACTTTGTTCGACATGACATGACACACCTTGCCCTGACTTTATTTAAATTGACATGGCCTGACTTGGTGTATAATCCGACTAACCCTGACCTAACATAGCTTGACATAACTTGGCTTGTCTTGACCTGACTTGTTCTGGCCTGACTGCTTGACATAACATGACTTGCCTTGACCGGAGTTAGCCTGACATGAGGTGATTTCATTTGACTTGCCTTGCCCTGACTTTTCTTAACTTGACTTTTTTGACCTGATTAACCTTGACCTGACTTACCTTTAACTAACTGACGTTGCTGACATACCTTGACTTGTCCTGGATTGACATGACCTGACTTGGCTTGTCATGGCCTGACTTGACTAGGCTTGATATCACCTGATTTCGCTTGACTTGACATCACCTGATTTAGCTTGACACAATTTGACTTGCCTTGGTTTAACTTGATTTGACTTGGCTTGGTATGACCTGATTTGGATTGACCCGATCTGACTTGCATGACCTGACTTAGTTTGACATAACCTAACTTACTTGACGTGACTTGCCCTGGCTTGACTTTGTTTGATATAATATGAGATACCTTGACCTAACTTATCCTAATTTGACTCCATCACGTTACTTGTTCTGACTTGCCTTGACTTCATTTGACTCGCCTTGGCCTAACTTTTCTTGACTTGCCTTGTTTTGGTCTGACTTTCCTTGATCTACCTTGACTACACCTAATCTGACTTGACCTGTTTGCCTTGAGCTGACTTTCCTTTATCTAACTGGCCTTGAACTGACTCCCCCTGACTTGACTTAGTTTCAACAATTAGATTTGCGTTGACCGACTTGGCTTATAATCTGATTTGACTTGACTTGACTTCATTTGACTTGGCTCGTCATGATCCGATCTGGTTTATCTTGATTGACCTGATGTTGCTTGACGTAAGCGGGTTGCCCTGACTTGATTTAGATTGACATACTTTGACTTGCCTTGGATTGACATGACCTGACTTATTTTGACATAATCTATCTTGCTTGTCATGCCCTGATATGCCCTGTCTTGATTTGATTTGTTTTATTTTGACATCACCTGATTTGGCTTGACTCGATCTGCCTTACCTTGACCTAATTTGTTCTGACTTCACTTAGCTTGACACAATTTGACTTGCCTTGGCTTGGTATGACCTGACTTGGATTGACCCGATCTGACTTGCGCGGCCTGACTTAGCTTGACAATCTAACTTGCCTTGACGTGACTTGCTTTAGCTTGACTTTGTTCGACATAACATGACACATCCTGACCTGACTTTATTTAAATTGACGTGGCCTGACTTGGTTTAACCTGACTAGCCTTGACCAAACTTAGCTTGTCTTGACCTAACTTGTCCTGACCTGACTGCTTGACATAACCTGACTTGCCTTGACTTTTCTTGACTTGACTTTTTTGACCTGATTTACCTTGACCTGACTTACCTTTAACTAACTGGCGTTGCTGAGATACCTTGGCTTGCCTTGAATTGACATGACCTAACTTGGCTTGTCATGGCCCGACTTGACTAGGCTTGATTTCACCTGATTTATCTTGACACAATTTGACTTGCCTTGGTTTGACTTGATTTGACTTGGCTTGGTGTCACCTGATTTGGATTGACCTGATCTGACTTGCATGACCTGACTTAGCTTGACATAACCTAACTTACCTTGACGAGACTTGCCCTGGCTTGACTTTGTTTGACATAATATGAGATACCTTGAATGACCTAACTTATCCTAATTTGACTCCATCACATTACCTGTTCTGACTTGCCTTGACTTCATTTGCCTCACCTTGGCCTAACTTTTCTTGACTTGCCTTGTTTTGGTCTGACTTTCCTTGATCTGCCACCTGATCTGACTTGACCTGTTTGCCTTGAGCTGACTTTCCTTGAACTGAGTTGCCCTGAGCTGACTTAGTTTGATATAATTAGATTTGCCTGTACCGACTAACTCATGATATGACCTAACTTGACTTGACTTCATTTGACTTGGCTGGGCATGACCCGATCTGGCCTACCTTGACCGGGCTTGCCCTGATTTGATTGATCTGACGTTGCTTGACGTAACCGGATTTCCCTGACCTGACTTAGCTTGACATACCTTGACTTGCCTTGGATTGACATGACCTGACTTGGCTTGAATTGATCTGATTTTCTCTGACCTGACTTATGTTGAGATAATATAACTTGCCTTGACATGATATGCCTTTACTTGACTTTGTTTGATATTACCTGACTTGCCTTGATTTGATTTGTTTTGACATCACCTGTTTTGGCTTGACCTAATTTGCCCTGATATGACTTAACTTAACACAATTTGACTTACCTTGGCTAGACTTGATTTGACTTGCCTTGGTATGATCTGATTTGGATTGGCCCGATCTGACTTGTCCTGACCTGACTTGCCTTGACTGGAGTTTGCCTGACATGAGCTGACTTTTTTTGATTTGCGTTGGCCTGACTTCCTTGACCTGACTTGCCTTCACTTGATCTGACTTGACCTGTTTTGCCTTCAACTGACTTTCTTTGAGCTAATTGGATTTGATCTGATCTAACTTATTTGATCTGACTTACCTTGATCTGACTTATTTTTAACTAATTAGCGTTAACCTGACTTACCCTTAGCTATCTGGTCTGGACGTGACTTCTCTTGATATAATTTGACTTGCTTTGCCAACTTGATCACATTTCCATTATAAAATCCTCTCATTTCAGATTTCTACAACGAATACGAATGCAACACTGCATTATTAGACAGGGCCGCCTTAAGCGCCACCTCCTCCTTGCCCAGCCGTGGCCCCGAAAACGCCCGCCTCTGGGGTAAGTCCAGCCCGAACCCCATCATGGAATGGTAAATTTCTCTTATCCAGGTCCGTACTAACCAAAATGTCCACGAACGTGCGTTGGGCTTTCAATTTCACGAAATGGCACCCATCTCACGCGGACATTTCACAAGCCACATCTTGCATCCAACCCGAAGAGAAAGAGCGTTTAGCGAGATTCGTTTTCAAAAATGATTTCAAAGCGTCCCTAATCGGTAGACTGATGATGCGAAAGTTCGTTAGCGAGGTTAAAGGGGCGAAGTACGAGGAGATCCGCTTTACGAGGGACGAAAAAGGGAAACCGTTTTTGGGCGAGAGGGAGTTCGAGGGGGTTCAGTTCAACGTGTCGCATCAGGGGGATTTTACGGTGATGGCCGGGGGAGTGGGGGGCGGGTTGTTGGGGGTGGATGTGGCGAAAATGGAGTTTCCGAGGGGGAAAACCCTGGAGGAGTATTTTCGGGTGATGAAAAGAACTTTTTCGGAGAAAGAGTGGCTAACTATTAAAAGCTATGGTGTAAATCGGGAGATATTGGCGGCGTTTTATAGACATTGGTGTTTGAAGGAAAGTTATTTAAAGGCGGTGGGGATTGGGGTTACGATAAATCTACAGGATGTTAGTTTTAAAATTAACACACCCGTGTTGAAAAAGGAGGGGATTGTTGATGACACGGAGGTGTTTTTTCGGGGGGAAAAATTGAAAGAGTGGGTGTTTCATGAGATGCTTCTGGACGATGAGCACTGTGTAGCGGTTGCTATGAATTTTCAAAACGAAAAAATGTTTTTCAGGGAGATAGGGTTTGAGGAAATTGTGGAAAATTCGGTCGCTTTGTTGAGTCCAGACGACGATTATTGTGCCAAGTTTTTCCAAAAGTGTGACAAGAATTGACGTAATAAATAGTTTTGAGTGAGAGAGGTATTAATCCGTTAGATCAAGCATGTAAAGATCATGATATAAAGTATAAAAACGTTTTAAAGTATTTTTTACGCTACCGAGCGTGTGATTCGGGTGTTTAATTTTAAATTGTAGGAAAAGGTGTCAGATTTTGTCAGGGGAGAGGGATTGGTATAAAATTCGTCAAATTGTGTGGGATTTTTTTAATAAATGGTTCAGGAGATGGGTTGTTTTGTTTACCATTCCATGATTTGTGGGTGGGTCAGTCGGGTGATCGATTTGGGAATGCACCGGGTGTGCCAAGTCAATTTTAAAAATTCGAATCCGGCCTGCTTCGATCGCCCGACCTCCACCCCGCCCGTACCACCCGTAGTATGGCACAAATCGATGTGTTGCATGCAATTTTGACCCGTATTTATCGATTGCATGAGTATTATTTGTCGCTTGAAAATTTACATCGCAAACCTGGATCTCGCCCGTGCCCTACTATCTAGGTACAAACTTTTTTCTTTAACCCGGGTCTTACAAAGGTGGGCACGCGTGGAGCGCCGAGGAGAATGACTTTGATCAGCAGCTGATCGTCGACTTGGGTCAAGTGAAAAACGTGACCCGAATCCGGACACGTGGTCGGCCTCACAGCAACGAGTACGTCATGGAGTACACCATCAGTTATGGTACAAATGGGTTAGATTACGCCGAGTACAAAGAGCCCAGTGGTAACGCAATGGTGAGATTACCAAGATGTGCACGTTTTCGCTTTTTAACTTTGTTGTCAATTAACATTGTGGCTGTAGTGGTTGTTGTGACGGTTGGTGTGAGTTCTCTTTCTAACAAAGACACTTGGCTGTAGGAGAATCGGCTTGGAGTCCAGACGAGAGCACGTATTTTCACTTTCTAACAATGGATTTGGGGGGATTTAGAGAGATCAGGTCGATAAGTACGCAAGGGCGGAAGGGGTCCAGCGAGTTTGTTACTGAATACGTTGTCCAGTTTTCGGATGACGGGGAGGCGTGGAGGAGCTTTACTGATACGCAAGGAGAGACCGAGGTGCTTTTTTCATGCTTTCTTATTTATTCTTTTGTTTATGGACTTTGACACGTTCTCTTTTATTCTTAAGCACGGACATTAATGCTTTGCCGTTCCTCACTAACTACGATTCTAAAAATAACACGGCTTGGTTTGAAACAGAGACAGGAAGGAGTTGAGGACGAAAATTAATTATTTGAAATTTAAAAATTTACAGAAACGTCTTGCAAGACTTGAAATATATCTTTTAATATTTCTCAAAATTGTATGGTTATTGGCAGGTACCATTTGTGCAGTCCAGGCCGGGTTGTGGGGGTTGTGGAAACATTTTAAACACTAGCAAAATTTCGGTAGTTCAAAATGTCAAAAATCAAAATATCTTGAGAAATACCAAAATATCAAAAGTTCAAAGGGTATATCTTAAAAAATAGTGAAATATTGAAAGGTCAAAATATTTTAAAGACCGCTGAATAACAAAAGTTCAAAAAGTCAAAAGCTCGAATATCTTAAGAAGTATTGAAATATCACAAGGTAAAAATGTCAATATATCTAAAGCTCAAAACGTAAATAAGTCGAAACATTTGAAGAAGTAGCAAAATTTCAAAAGGTCGCAATTTCTCAAAAAATACTGAAATATCGTAAGGTCAAAATAAGAGCTGAAAAGTTTAAAAGTTAAAGATATTTTTAAAACTACCAAAATATCATAATGTCGAAAGGCCACAAATTCAAAAGATCACAATATCTTAAGAAATACTAAAATATTAAAAAGTCAAAATGTCAATATTTCAAAAGCTTAAAACGTAAAAAGCCGAACCGTGTTAAGAACTAGCAAAATTTCAATATTGCCAGAGGTCAAAGTATCTTAAGAAATATTGAAATATCAAAAGGTCAAAATATTTTACGAACTAAAAATATCAAAAAGTCACAAGAACACAATATCTTGAGAGATACTGAAATATTAGAAGGTTCAAAGGTCACAATATCTGAAGAAATACTTCAGTATTAAAAGTTCAGAGGCTCAAATTATCTTTAGAAGTATTGAAGTATTAAGAGATCAAAAGTTCACAATATCTTAAGAAGTACTGAAATATTGGGTCAAAACGTAAAAAATTCGAAACAAAAGTCAAAAATATTTTTAAGAACAACCAAAATATAAGATTGAAGGGTCGAAAGTTCAAAATGTCACAATATCTTAAGAAAAATGGAAATATCAAAATCACAATATCTTAAGAAGTACTGAAATATTGGGTCAGAATGTCAAATTGTTTAAAACCACGGAAATCTCAAAAGGTCACAAAATGTTAAAAACCACTGAAGTTTCGAAATGTCAAGAGCTCACAACGTAAAAAAGTCGAAACATTTTAAGAACTAGCAAAATTTCAAAAAGTCAAATAATTTAAAAACTACCAAAATATAAGATCGAAAGACCAAAAGTTCAAAAGGTCACAATATCTTAAGAAATATTGAAATATCAAAAGGTCAAAATATTTTAAGAAATACTTAAATATTACAAGGTCAAAATGTCAATATTTCAAAAGCTAAACACGTAAAAAAGCCCAACCATTTTAAGAACTAACAAAATTTCAATAGTGCAAAAGGTCACAATATCTTAAGATATACTGAAATATCAACAGGACAAAATATTTTAAGAAATAATTAAATATCACAAGGTCAAAATGTCAATATTTCAAAAGCTCAAAACGTAAAAAGTCAAACCATTTTAAGAATTAACAAAATTTCAATAGTGCAAAAGACCAAAATATCTTAAGAAATACTGAAATATCAAAAGGTCAAAATATTTTAAGAAATACTTAAATATCACAAGGTCAAAATGTCAATATTCAAAAGCTCAAAACGTAAAAAGTCAAACCATTTTAAGAATTAACTAAATTTCAATGGTGCAAAAGGCCAAAATATCTTGAGAAATATTGAAATATCAAAAGGTTAAAATATTTTAGGAAATACTTTAATATTAGAAGGTCAAAATGTCAATATTTCAAAAGCTCAATACGTAAAAAGTCAAACCATTTTAAGAATTAATTAAATTTTAATAGTGCAAAAGACCAAAATATCTTAAGAAATACTGAAATATCAAAAGGTCAAAATATTTTAGGAAATAGTTAAATATCACAAGGTCAAAATGTCAATATTTCAAAAGCTCAAAACGTAAAAAAAACACCATTTTAAGAATTAACAAAATTTCAGTAGTGCCAGAGGTCCCAATATCTTAAGAAATATTGAAATATCAAAAGGTTAAAATATTTTAGGAAATACTGTAATATCAGAAGGTCAAAATGTCAATATTTCAAAAGCTCAAAACGTAAAAAAATCAAACCATTTTAAGAATTAACAAAATTTCAATAGTGCAAAAGGCCAAAATATCTTAAGAAATATTGAAATATCAAAAGGTCAAAATATTTTAGGAAATACTTAAATATCACAAGGTCAAAATGTCAATATTTCAAAAGCTCAAAACCTAAAAAGTCAAACCATTTTAAGAATTAACAAAATTTCAATAGTGCAAAAGGCCAAAATATCTTAAGAAATACTGAAATATCAAAAAGGTCAAAATATTTTAGGAAATACTTAAATATCACAAGGTCAAAATGTCAATTTTTCAAAAGCTCAAAACCTAAAAAGTCGAACCATTTTAAGAATTAACAAAATTTCAGTAGTGCAAAAGGCCAAAATATCTTAAGAAATATTGAAATATGAAAAGGTCAAAATATTTTAAGAAATACTTAAATATCACAAGGTCAACATGTCAATATTTCAAAAGCTCAAAACGTAAAAAAAACACCATTTTAAGAATTAACAAAATTTCAGTAGTGCCAGAGGTCACAATATCTTAAGAAATATTGAAATATCAAAAGGTCAAAATATTTTAAGACATACTTAAATATCACAAGGTCAAAATGTCAATATTTCAAAAGCTCAAAACGTAAAAAAAAAACACCATTTTAAGAATTAACAAAATTTCAGTAGTGCAAAAGGCCAAAATATCTTAAGAAATATTGAAATATCAAAAGGTCAAAATATTTTAGGAAATAGTTAAATATCACAAGGTCAAAATGTCAATATTTCAAAAGCTCAAAACGTAAAAAAAAACACCATTTTAAGAATTAACAAAATTTCAGTAGTGCCAGAGGTCACAATATCTTAAGAAATATTGAAATATCAAAAAGTTAAAATATTTTAGGAAATACTTTAACATCAGAAGGTCAAAATATCAATATTTCAAAAGCTGAAAACGTAAAAAGCCGAACGATTTTAAGAATTAACAAAATTTCAATAGTCCAAAAGATCAAAATATTTTAGGAACTAAAAATATAAAAAAAGTCAAAAGGACACAATATCTTGAGAGATACTGAAAAATTAGAGGATCAGAGGAGAGTTAAAATATCTTTAGAAATATTGAAATATTAAAAAGTCAAAAGTTCACAATATAATAGATTCTTAAGAAGTACTGAAATATTGGGTCAGAAGGTCAGATTGTTTAAAACCACAATCTCAAAAGGTCACAAAATCTTAAGAACTACTGAAGTCTCGAAATGTCCAGAACTCAAAACGTAAAAAAATCGAAACATTTTAAGAACTGAACATCAGAAGTTTAAAAGGTCAAAATGTCTTAAAAACTACCAAAATATAAAATCGAAAGGTCAAAAGGACACAATATCTTTAAGAAATTCTGAGATATTGAAAGGTCAAAAGGTCAAAATATCTTTAAGAAATTCTGAGATATTGAAAGGTCAAAATATGTTAAAGACCACTGAAATCTCAAAAGGTCAAAATGTCAATATTACAGAAGTTCAAAAGGTAAAAAAGTCGAAATATTTTAAGAATTACTGAAGTATCAAAAGTTCGAAAGCCAAAAGTTCAAATACCTTAAGAAATATTGAAATATCACAAGGTCAAAATATTTTAAGAAATACTTAAATATCACTAGGTCAAAATGTCAATATTTCAAAAGCTCAAAACGTAAAAAGTCAAACCATTTTAAGAATTAACAAAATTTTAATAGTGCAAAAGGCCAAAATATTTTAAGAAGTATTGAAATATCAAAAGGTTAAAAGATTTTAGGAAATACTTTAATATCAGAAGGTCAAAATGTCAATATTTCAAAAGCTCGAAACGTAAAAAGTCAAACCATTTTAAGAATTAACAAAATTTCAATAGTGCAAAAGCCAAAATATCTTAAGAAATAGTGAAACATCAAAAGGTCAAAATATTTTAAGAAATACTTAAATATCACAAGGTCAAAATGTCAATATTTCAAAGCTCAAAACGTATAAAACCCACCATTTTAAGAATTAACAAAATTTCAGTGGTGCCAGAGGTCACAATATCTTAAGAAATATTGAAATATCAAAAGGTCAAAATATTTTAGGAAATACTTTAATATCAGAAGGTCAAAATGTCAATATTTCAAAAGTTCGAAACGTAAAAAAGCCCACCATTTAAAGAATTAATAAAATTTCAGTAGTGCCAGAGGTCACAATATTTTAGGAAATACTTTAATATCAGAAAGTCAAAATGTCAATATCAAAAGCTCAAAACGTAAAAAACCCAACCATTTTAAAAACTAACAAAATTTCAATAGTGCAAAAGGCCAAAATATCTTAAGAAATACTGAAATATCAAAAGGTCAAAATATTGTAGGAAATAGTTAAATATCACAAGGTCAAAATGTCAATATTTCAAACGCCCAAAACGTAAAAAAACCCATCATTTTAAGAATTAACAAAATTTCAGTAGTGCCAGAGGTCACAATATCTTAAGAAATATTGAAATATCAAAAGGTCAGTATATTTAAGGAAATACTTAAATATCACAAGGTCAAAATGCCAATATTTTAAAAGCTCAAAACGTAAAAAATCCACCATTTTAAGAATTAACAAAATTTCAGTAGTGCAAAAGGCCAAAATATTTAAGAAATATTGAAAAATCAAAAGGTCAAAATATTTTACGAAATACTTAAATATCACAAGGTCAAAATGTCAATATTTCAAAAGCTCAAAACGTAAAAAACCTCACCACTTTAAGAATTAACAAAATTTCAGTAGTGCAAAAGGCCAAAATATTTAAGACATATTGAAATATCAAAAGGTCAAAATATTTTGGGAAATACTTTAATATCAGAAGGTCAAAATGTCAATATAACAGAAGTTCAAAAGGTAAAAAAGTCGAAATATTTTAAGAATTATTGAAGTATCAAAAGTTCGGAAGCCAAAAGTTCAAATACCTTAAGAAATATTGAAATATCACAAGGTCAAAATGTCAATATTACGAAAGATAAAAAAGTCGAAATATTTTATGAAAATACCAAAATATCAAAAGCTCAAATGTCAAAACGTTGATATTTTAAGAACAACTAGAAGTCCAAATATCTTAAGAAAAATTGAAATATTAAATATCAGAAGGTCAAAATATGTTAGGAATTAAAAAACATCAAAAGTTCAAAGGATCAAAAGGACACAATATCTTAAGAGATACCGATGTATTAAAAGTCAAAAAACCAGCAGTATATCAAAAGATAAAAAAGTCAAAATATCAAAAAAAAAAAAATGTATATCGAAAGGTCGAAAACTCAAAAGTTAAAAATATATTCAAGACCACTGAATGAATATTCAAAAGGTCAAAATATTTTACGAACTAAAAGATCTCATAAGGTGACCAGATCTTAAAAATTACTGTAATATTGAAAGGCCAAAAGGTCCCAACATTTTATGGTTGACCTGACTCGAGTCGACATTACCTGACCTGACTTACTATGACTTAAGTACCAAAATTCAAATTTTCGGTACTTTAAAGTAAAAATTTTCGAAAACGTCTTGCAAGACCCAAAACATCACATTTTTAAACATTTCTGAATATACTACATTTAAAAAAAAGCCAGACATTACACTTTAGACAGACGAATCGTCAATTTTTTTTTTTCACAAAAATCCCTCCCACCCCAACTAAACCTCGTTTCGTTAGATGTTCAGAGGCAACTCCGACAGCAACTCCATCCACAAGAACGAGTTCGAAGTCCCCATAATCGCCCAATGGATCCGGATAAACCCGACCAGGTGGCGCGACCGCATCTCCATGCGCGTGGAACTCTACGGCTGCGATTACGGTACTCCCTCCTTCCCGTGGAAACTCTCCTCTAAAACTCCTTTCCAGACGCCGACGACATGTACTTCAACGGGACCGCCCTACTCAAGCTCGATCTAATGCGAGACCCGATTTCGGCTTCCCGCGAAAGCATAAGGTTCAGGTTCAAGACGGCGGTGGCCAACGGGGTGGTGCTGTACAGCAGGGGGACGCAAGGGGACTACATAGCTCTGGAGTTGAGGGAGAACAGGTTGTTGTTGAAGATCGACCTGGGGTCGGGGGTTGTGACGAGTTTGTGCGTCGGGAGCTTGTTGGATGACAATATTTGGCACGACGTGGTGATCTCGAGGAATAGGAGGGATATTTTGTTCTCGGTGGATAGGGTGGTAGTGCAGGATCGGATCAAGGGGGAGTTCAACAGGTTGAACTTGAACCGGGCGGTGAGTTTTTTTTACCAGAGGAATTAAATTTTTCTAAAAAAAATATGTGTAGTTTTACGTAGGCGGCGTGCCAAATATACAAGAAGGGTTAGAAGTGGTGCAAAATTTCACCGGGTGCATCCAAAATCTCTACCTCAACGCCACGAATCTAATCCGCGAGGTAAAAGACGCCTATGAATACAACGAGGCTCTACGATTCGAAAAAGTCAACACCATGTACTCGTGCCCCGTAAGTACATAGTAACCCGTTGGGTACCCCCGTACTAAAAAATTTAACTATCCTACAGGAACCCCCAGTGATTCCAGTGACCTTCCTGACCAAAGAATCGTGCGCCCGCCTCAAAGGCTACGAAGGTATGAGCTCGATGAACTCGTCCTTCGCCTTCCGGACGTACGAAAAAACCGCGCTGTTATTCTTCCACGCGTTTTCCTCCAGCGGACACGTGGCGGTACGTAACCTAACCCAATCAATCCAAAAAAATTACAAAATCGTCTTGTCACTCTAGATCTTCCTCGAAGAGGGCAAAATCAAGATCGAACTAATCACGTCAGAGGTGCCTAAGATCGTCCTCGACAATTACAAAGAGACGTTCAACGACGGCCGCTGGCACATCGTCGTTTTGACCATCACCACCAACTTGATGATCTTCAGTGTGGATTACCGTCCGATGAAAACAACCCGGTTGTTGAGCATCAAAACCGGTGGGACTTACGTAATTGCGGGCGGCGTGACCGCCGCGCTTGGCCACTCGGGTCAGCAGATGCCAGGGTTCATCGGGTGCATGCGCACCATCGGCATCGACGGCAACTACAAGGTACTGAAAGTTTGCGATCGCGTGATAGGGGCAAAAAGCGTGTAGATCGAGCGTGTAAAGATCACGATATAGAGTATAAATATGTTTTGAAGTATTTTTACTTCCTGAGTAAGCTAAGGAAGTGAAAATATTGATTAAGTCAAGAACGACTCGCCCCATTTTGCCGAAAATAATAATAATGACAATAACAGTAGTCATTAGTATTACTCTGCATTTATCCAAAATTGTTGTACTTTCTTTAATTTTTCAATGTTTGGTTTTCATAATTTTTCCTTCTTTCAACGGTGATTTTTTCAATTATTCAATTTATCGACTTCAAATTTTCCAGTTTTTCGTTTCTAGAATTTTTCGATTTGTGATTTTTCGAGATTCTTGATTTTTATTTTTCGTTTTCTCGATTTAATATCAAAATTTTCCGTTTTTTCGTTTCATTTATTTTTTCAATGTTTCTTTTCAGTTTTGCATTTTTTGGAATTTCCAATCATCCGATTTTCCGATTTCTTTAATTTTAAATATTTCTATTTTAGAATGCATATTTCTTGTTTCGATTTTGAACTTGTTAGATTTTTAAGTTTCTCAGTTTTAATCTTCAAGTTTTTGATCTCCATCTTCGATTTTTCGGTATTACAGTTTTGTAATTTTTCCATTTTTTTTTATTTGAAAAGTTGAAAAATCGAAGAAACGAAAAATTGAAACATTGCCAAACTAAAAATCGGAAAAATTAAGTGAATTGAAAAATTGGAAAACTCAAAAATGTAAAATTGAAAAATTATAGAATAGTCAAAATTGTAAAGTTTAAAAACTGTTACATTCAAAGATCCAAAAATTAAAAAAAATATATTGAGAAATTGGAAAATTAAAACTCTAATAAATGTAAATGTTTTAAAATCCTTTAATGGAAAAATGAAAAAATTCTAAAATCGTAAAATTGATAAATGAAATCGAAAAATTCAAGAATCGAAAAGTCGGAAATTCCAGAAATCGAGAAATCGAAGTCAAAAATTGCGAAATCAAGAAACTGGAAATTCCAAAAATTGATTAATCAACAAATTCAAAAGTTGAAATCGAAAAGTCGGAAATCCCAAAAATCGAGAAAATGAAATAAAAAATTTGAGAAATCAAGAAACTGCACATTCGAAAAGTTGAAAAATATAAAAAATTAAAAAATCAAAATTACCCAAAAAGTCGAGAAATCGAAAAATTGGAATGTCGAAAAATCGAGAAATCGAAAAGTCGAGAAATTGTCAAATCAAGAACTTAAAAATTCGGAAAATCCAAAAATTTATAAATCGAAAAATCCAAAAACTGAAAAATTGAAATCGAAGAATGGAAAAATCAAGAAATTGGACATTCAAATAGTTGGAAATTCAAACAATTAGAAAATCAAAAAGTCAAAAGTCAAGAAATCGGTTATTCGAAAAGTTGGAAAGTCGAAAAATCGAAAAATTAAAAAACTAAAAATCCAAACAGTGAAAAATCGGGAAATTGAGAAATCGAAAAATCTTAAAAATCGAGAACTCGAAAAAAAAACGAAAAATTCAAAAATCGAAGTCGAGGAAACGAAAAATTCAAAAATCGAAAAATTGAGTAGTCAAAAAGTCGGGAAATCGAAAAATCAAGAATTAAAAAATACGGAAAATCAAAAATTTATAAATCGAAAAATACAAAAATTAAAAAATTGAATTCGAAAAATTGAAAAATCGAAAAGTCGGGACCACAAAACACGAGAAATCAAAGTCAAAAATTTGAGAAATCAAGAAACTGGACATTCGAAAATTTGAAAAACCGAAAAATTCAAAAATCGATGTCCAGAAATCGAAAAATTCAAAATTGCAGCCAAAAAATCGAGAAATCGAAAAATAGGAATGTTGAAAAATCGAAAAATCAAATTATCGGGAAATTGAAAAATTAAGAAGTCAAAAATTCGGAAAATCCAAAACTTTATAAATCGAAAAATTGAAGTCAAAAATTGGAGAAAACAAGAAATTGGACATTCGAAAACTTTAAAAATCGTGAAATTCAAAAATCGAAATGGAGAAATCTAAAAATTCAAAAATCACAAAATGCAAAATAATCGCAATTAAATTATTGAAAAGTCGCAAAATCCAAACACTGAAAAATTCAAATACAAAAATCTAAAAATCGAGAGAACGAAAATTCGCAAATCAAAAAATTCAACAATCGCATGCAAAAAATCGAGAAATGGAAAAATCGGGAATTCAAAAAAAATCGAAGATTTCAAAATTTAAAGAATGAAAGTCGAAAAGTCAAGAAATCGAAAAATTAAAAAACCAATAATCCAAACAGTGAAAAATCGAGAAATTGAAAAATCGAATCGATTTATCCAAAAATTCAAAAATCGAAAAATCGGAATGTCCAAAAATTGAGTAGTCAAAAAGTCGGGAAATTCAAAAAACAAGAATTAAAAAATTCGAAAAATTAAAAAATCGAAAAGTCGGGAACCACAAAACTCGAGAAATCGAAGTCAAAAATTTGAGAAATCAAGGAACTGGACATCCGAAAAGTTGAAAAACCGAAAAATTCAAAAATCGATGTCCAGAAATCGAAAAATTCAAAATCGCAGCCAAAAAATCGAGAAATCGAAATCGGAAAATCCAAAATTTTATAAATCGAAAAATAGAAGACAAAAATTTGAGAAAACAAGAAATTGGACATTCGAAAAGTTTAAAAATCGTGAAATTCAAAAATCGAAATGGAGAAATCTAAAAATTCAAAAATCACAAAATGCAAAATAATCGCAATTAAATTATTGAAAAGTCGCAAAATCCAAACACTGAAAAATTCAGTTACAAAAATCGAAAAATCGAGAGAACGAAAATTCGGAAATCAAAAAATCCAAAAATCGCATGCAAAAAATCGAGAAATGGAAAAATTGGGAATTCAAAAAAAATCGAAGATTTCAAAATTTAAAGAATGAAAGTCGAAAAGTCAAGAACTTGAAAAATCAAGAACTCAGAAATTCGAAAGATCCAAAAATTTTAGAATCCGAAATCCAAAAATTTAAAAATCGAATAGTCGGGAACACCAAAAATCGTGAAAAAATTTAAGACTGAAATTGAAAAATCAAAAACCATAAAATCGGAACGTTGAAAAATCGAAAAATTGTAAAAATGAAGAAAATTGCCAATCGGTAATTTGAAGAAATGAAAAATTAAAAATTAAAAATCGAAGTAAGGAAAAATTGAAAAAATAAATTATATACTCAAAACATTAAGCATCGATTAATTGCAAAAATAAACAAAACGAAAAATTGAAAACTCGAGAAACTCAAATCGAAGAATTGCAAAATCTAAAAACTGGAAAATTCAAAAGTTGGAAAATTGAAAAACTGAAAAATTTGAGCTTGAAAGCTCAAAAAAAAACGATAATTGAAAAACTGCAAACTGAAAAATTGAAAAAAATCTAAAATCGGAATATTGAAAAATTGGAAAGTTGTAAAGAAAATAGAAAACCAAAATGAAAAATTGAAAACCGAGAAGTTGAAAAATCAACATTCAAACGACAAAAATCCAAAGTCAGAACATTGAAAAGCCGGAAAATTGAAAAAAAAAGAAAAATCGAAAAATTGGAAAATCTAAAAATTAGAAAATCGAAAAACTGGAAAATTTTAAAATGAAAACTGGAAAAGTTACATGTTGGAAAATTGAAGAAACAAAAAAAATCAAAAATTGAAAAATTGAAATTTGAAATTACAAAAAAAAAACAAGTAAAAAATTATAAAATCAATAATAATCCGGCACCCTCCGCCCACGCCTCCCTCGCTCTACACCTCCTTTAATACATTATATACATTTAATCCCTCTATGAAATGCTTTATTTTATTCATGACCTATGACTTTTTCACTATAATCCAGTAGTCCGAACATTTCAATAATCCGGCACCCTCCGGTTTTTAATAGTGCCAGATTAGTGAGATTATACTGTATTTCTATGTTAGAATGCATATTTCTTTTTTCAATTTTGAGCTTGTTAGATTTTTAAGTTTCTCAGTTTTAATCTTCAAGTTTTTGATCTCCAATTTTTATATTTTTCAAAGTTTTCATGTTATACGCTTTCGTTTTTTCATCTTCGATTTTTCGATAGTACAGTTTTGTAATTTTTCCATTTTTTTTTATTTGAAAAGTTGAAAAATCGAAGAAACGAAAAATTGAAACATTGCCAAACTAAAAATCGGAAAAAATCAGTGAATTGAAAAATTGGAAAACTCAAAAATGTAAAATTGAAAAATTATAGAATAGTCAAAATTGTAAAGTTTAAAAACTGTTACATTCAAAGATCCAAAAATTTAAAAAAATTAAATATTGAGAAATTGAAAAATTAAAACTCTAATAAATGTAAATGTTTTAAAATCCGTTAAATTGATAAATGAAATCGAAAAATTCAAGAATCGAAAAGTCGGAAATTCCAAAAATCGAGAAATCGAAGTCAAAAATTGCGAAATCAAGAAACTGGAAAATTCAAAAATTTATTAATCAACAAATTCAAAAGTTGAAATCGAAAAGTCGGAAATCCCAAAAATCGAGAAAATGAAATAAAAAATTTGAGAAATGAAGAAACTGGAAAAAGTTGAAAAATCGGAGAGGAAAATTGGAAAAATTCAAAAATTGCAAAATCAAAAAACGCAGCCAAAAAAAAGAGAAAACGAAAAATTGGGATGTCGAAAAGTCCAGAAATCAAAAAGACGGGAAATTGAAAAATGAAGAACTCAAAAATTCAGAAAATCCAAAAATTTATAATCGAAAAGTCGGGAACCTTGAAAATGGTGAAATCGAATTCAAAAATTCAAAAAATCAAGAAAGTGAACATTCGAAAAGTCGAAAAATTAAGTCCAAACAGTAAAAAATCGAAAAGTATATATATAATTGTATAACCCAAAAATTGTGAAATTAAGAAATCTAAAAATCGAAAATCGAAAAATTGCAAATTAAAAAGTTAAGGACTCAAAAATTCGGAAAATCCAAAAATTTATAAATCGAAAA